AAGATAAAATCCCAAAATACACAAATGTGATTAAACATGATTATGTATACGAAAACAGCTATCAGTGCTAGCTTTATTAATATTTAAAATAATAAAAATATAAAAAATATATTTTAGAAATCCGCATTTTTTAATTCTCTTGTACCAAGGATCATCTTTTTTAATTTTTTGTAAATTTACAATTATTCTTCTAAAAATATAGATTTTTGATATTAACAAGTTACTAGCTTTGCATTTCATAAAAAATAACACCAACTCTTGGTATTAATAGAACATGAACAAAATCCTCAACTTAATCAACCATTTCCATACTTAAGAGGATTTTAGCCTTAGCTACTGGAAGGTAATAATTGACCTCTTTCTCATATATCAGTCTGTGGATAACAATATACTCACCTGTTATATTAATACCAAATCCTATAAAAGTTTGACATAAAATCTCTCTCTTATATTTTTTTAAAAGGTAGTGATACCCATCAAGGGATAGTCTCACTAATTTTTTATGATCATCAAAGATTTTCTTATTAGTAGTCTTTAATTTGCCACTCTTAACATATGCAATTTCGTTCCATTTTTGATGGAGAAAAGCTTAAATTATGAGATCTGGTCTATCTTCTCTTGTATTACTATTATTGCCGTTCACCTCTCATTACTTCAACATCATATTCAAGAGATAAACGCTACAAAACGGCATCTATTAATTAAGATATAACTTCTACTTTGGAGCCTTCAAAACCTCTAAGAACTTTATGAAGTGCATTCGACTTTACCTCTTGTAAAAGAACATCAGTGACATTCCTGGCTATACGTTTTTAATCATAATTTTCTTCAACCCACCCACCTTTTCAAATTGCGAAAGTACAAGTTTATAAAAGTTACTTGCTTCACCTCTTTTCTCAACAAATTCGGTGCATATGTTTTTTTATAAGTGGGTTCTTTTTCAACTTTCGTATTCCAGCAGCAAGTACATAGTAATCATTATCTGAGATTTGAAGATAATTTGCACCCAAATCAATTATTATTGTTAGTGGATCATTACAAGTTAATTTCTTAATGTCTACTTCACTTAATTTAGCAATAAGACATTCATGCGCCTAAGTTTTTTCATTCTGTAAAAAAAAGAGTTTACTTTTAAAAAGAATAGCTTTATCTCAAATTTTTGTCGATAAAATATCTTGATTATATCCTTAATGCTTAGCTATATTACTTGAAACCTGATCTTTCCAATTTATTGGCTTTTCAAAAATTTCTCATAATAAGTTATCTTCTACCAATGATTTAAGTACTTTCCAACTAAACCGAATCTGAAAAAAAATAGTGGTTACCAAATGCATTTGGAATTTATCTTTTTAATTAATAAGAATCCACCAACCAACAGGCCCTTAAAATTTTACTGTCAAATAACCTACACATAGCATGGACCTTTTAAACTCCCATTTATTTTTGAAATAAGTTATTTTTGAAATCTCCCAATATATCAGAAGTGAAAATTTTCATTATTTCATTATAAGAGTGGCATCTTCTAAAGAGAGTTGACCAGTGTTGGAAATCTGTTTTGAGATTTATGTTCTCATGAGAACAAATTTATTTAATTTTATTGTTCTCAGAAATTTATTTATGTTCTCATCAGTAAAATTTATTTATATCCCTAATTTTAAATTTATTATTTCAGAAAATATCGGACATTAATATTAATTCAAGTTTTTGTCCTAACCATTTTCGGATGATTTTGGAACTTCGCTCAATTTCTAATTTTAGTTTTGGCATTATGCTATTATACTCATATGGGATCTTTGCTAACAAAATGACCCTCCGAGGCTATGTTAATTTTGTGAATAAAAATTAAATTTGCCAGCTATCTAGTTATTCAATTTGAATGAAATTTTTTTTTTAATTTGTAGATTCTATTGAGATTTACAAAATAAAAAAATTCATTGATAGATGGCTGGCAAATTTAATTTTTATTTACAAAATCAACATAGCCTCGGAAGGTCATTTTGTTAGCAAAGATCCCATATAAAGAACATATTTTTCGAATATTATGTTCTCAATTTTTTTTTTTTTCATAGATAACATATATAGAATATCAAATGTTCTCAAATCTAAAGGTATGTTCTCATGAGCACATAAGATTTCCAAGATTTCCAACACTGGAGTTGACTGTATACTAATATTAAAAAAATTCTTATAACAAATACATGTGCCACACAATGTTAACTTTTCGTTTTTAAATACAAAATTGGGTCGGTTGGGCCGTTTTTTTTTTCTGTCAGTCCTATTGGACAATTACAGGATCCATCGGGTGACACCAGATGAAAATGATGGAAAAAATACAAAGAATAATTGTAGGGATGGATCGGTCCGCCCCGATCAGTCCATAAGACCGATTTTATAATGTTTATTAGTCCAGTCGGCCCGTCTTTTCGGTCCTAGAATCGATCTCACGACTTATAATTTTTCAACGCATAGCATTAAAATTAAAATTTTATTTATTAGCGGCCAAATTTTTAAAAATTTATATTATAAAAAATATAGCACATTAAATTTTTATTATAAAAAAAATACAGCACACATTTAATTTATATTATAAAAAATACGGCAACGTAAATATGAATATCTGATATGTATTTTATATGTGAATTTAATTTAAAAAATTGAGCACAAAGATGTTTAATTATTCAATTTGCAAAATCCTTTTTGAAGCTACCATAAATCGCCGGATAAAAGACCCGGGTCTCTTACATTCCACCAATTTTAAATCCTATAATAGACCCCGGGTCTAGTATGCAGCCGAGAGTTCAGGTCACTAAGAGGAAAAGTTTGAAGAATATGCATGTTTTTCATTTATAATAGACAATCCAGATATTTGAAAAAACCCATGTTGATTAATATAGATCTCATGATACGCATCCGGGTATACTACATGGTGGGTCTACTACCATGGGGGATCTTGTATCCGGCGATTTACGGTAACTCTTTAAACATAGAATCGATCTTGCAGATTCGTCTTCTGGTCGGCAATTTTATTAAGGTTCGAAACATCAAAATTTATTCATTGAAAATTGGAATTTCGACACTTATTTTATTACATTGAGAAATATCGGAAGATGAAAACAAGAAATTTCTGTTATATTCATGGTTAGAAAGGGTTATGAAAGTTTATCAACTTTTTTATCAACAGTATTAGTCATCGTTAGACCATAATCAAAATCAGGACCGGACAATTCCGAACCTAGGACTGAGAATTATTCGGTCCTCAGTCTTTAACCGCCCGGTCCCGGTCTTTACGAAGATCGATCCATCCCTAAATAATTGACACAATTGGACTTTAAAAAAAAATTTTTTTTTTTGAAAATTTGAAAAAAAACGAAACCTCAATTTTTGCGTGGCCTAATCATTAAAACACATAAAAAAATATCTTAGAGCATTCTCAAGCACTTCCCTCAATGGATTCAACCAAGAATCTGCATGTTCAAAATGGCCAATCAAATTCTTTATCGAATTATTAAAGGTGTTAAAATCAATTTGTTCAAATTTTAACGTTGAAGCTTCTAGAGATATGGTCGAAGATACTTTGATTTAGATGCTGCTAAATAAAAAATTATCTTTAATTATAATCTATTATTATTAAAAAAAATTTATCATTATCGTTATTATCGTTGTTGATTCCGAACCTTAATTATGGCATAAACTTCATTTCATTATGAGATATTAGGATAGTTGATTCGGGATTACAAGCTTATTGTTATGTCATCCCATCGGATAATTAAAAGAATAGTCCGAACCAATTATAATTAATACAGTACCACCTTTTACTTCTTTAATGCGAAAACTATTGACCGTTTAATGTAGGACTTGTTTATACAATATAATATATAAATATACACAATATTTAGATATTTGAAAGTTCTTAAATATAATGTATTGTAATACGATATTGTAAAATTTTTTTATCAGAATTCATATTTTCACAATGTCTGAGAAATATATAACAGCTTTATCTCATGATTTCGATAAACTTTTTAAGGACGGTAATAATTATGATGTAAGTATCAAAGTAGGTGAAAAACCTAATATCAAAATATTACGAGGACATTCTCAAATACTTGTCGCACGTTCGCCGTATTTTAAAGCTGCATTTTCTCAAGAGTGGGCGAAGAAAAAAAATGGAATTATTGATTTTGAAAAACCAAATATTTCACCTGAAATTTTTGAAATCATCCTTCGGTAATTTTTTATTCCCTTTAAAAAAATTTTGACATATTTTTTATAATAATATCAAAATTATTTTTAATTATAGGTATATTTATACCGGAATAATTCAGTTTGACATTCTTCATGCTGACGTTCTTCTTAGACTTCTTATTGCATTAGATGAACTTTACTTTGATGATTTGTTGGATGACTTACAGGCTCACCTTTTCAAGCAGGGTGCTCAATGGATTCGAGAAAATTTTGTTTTTGTATACAAAGTCAGTCTACAATATCAAAAATTCACAAAGTTAAGTGAGCACGTAGATGATATTATTCAATATGAACCTGAAATATTACTGGAATCTCGAGAATTCCATGAATTAGAAGAATCTGAGCTTCTTCCTATTCTCAAACGTAACAACTTTTACGTACAAGATGAAACAGAAATTTGGAATCGCATCATTAAATGGGGATGTGCTCAACAGAATCCTTGTCTTTCCACTGACCCTTCTGGATGGTCAGAGGAAAATATTGAATCTATGAAATCAACTTTGAAAAATTTGATTCCCTTGGTGAGATTTTTTACAATGTCATCAGATAAGTTTCATAAGCATGTTAGACCTTATGAAAAAATTCTCGGAAATCTTTGCGAACAAGTTTTACAATCATATCTTGTTAAAGAATGGCAACCTAAAGACATAAAAGTGCTTCCCCATAGAATTAAATCATCACGTATTAATTCAAAATTATTAAATAATAAGCAAGCTAAAGAAATTTTTAAAAAAATTTATGCTAAAAAACCAAAAATGTTTAAATCATTTCCTAACGAAGATCAATTTAAGTTGATATTACTTGAACCAACTAAATATGAAACCAATTGCGAGGTTCCAACTGTTATAGTATTTCGCATTGTCGAACTTAATTTGATAATTGGGGGATACAATCCATTTAAGTTAAAATACTCATCAATGCATTCACCTTCCTTAAAGGCTAAAATGGAATATAGTTTTATGTTCAAAATTGATAATGATAAAAAAATTAAATTTGTTTCTATTTTAGGGACTAAATATTTTAATTTAAAATATAATTATATTAGACCATTAAATATCTTTGACTTTACATTTCACCATAATTATAAAAATATTTCTTATAAGCAACATTTTTATCCTAAAATTTTAGATGGTAGTTATTACAATGTCGAAGGATTAGAAGTCTTTAAAGTAGTTGAAAGTGGTTGATATTATTTTGACCTTATTTATTTATTATACTTTTATCGGTATTAAATGTATGCAGTTAAAATAATTTAATTTGAAAAATTAGGTTTGGAAGAAAGTGAATTAAAAATTCTTTTTTGTTAGCTTCATATTTTATAAATATTCTTAGCACAACGCCAAACAATAAACCATTATATAGTATTAAATTAGTTATATTTAAAGTAATCGTTTTATATACATATACTGTATCTTATGGGAGGAAATCGTTTTTATTGGCTAGTTTTCAGATCTACATATAAATATTATTAAACCAATTATTTATAATACTTTGGATAATAAAAGTTACGAACAAAGAAAAGGTAGTTTATAAAAAGAATATTGGAGTTATATGACTCTATTATCAAAATAGATCCTTAATTTTCTCTTATTTAAGAAAAATTAATATAGCAATAATTTTTGGAAATCAAGCTGCTACTACGTTCTCTATAAATGTACACAAATGAGATGCTGTATTTTGTGTTGCTTGTCATAACAAAATGTTTTACAACTCAAAGTATATTTTGCGTATATTCGATCATAACCACAAGAGAATACGTTTCAAAAACTTGTATAATTATTGAAATTTAGAGAACAAAAATTTGATAAAAACAAAAAAAATGAAAGCTTTCGCGATTTAAAACTAATTACATATAAAGATTTAAAGATTTATATTTAATACACATAAATATTTATAAATCAACCAAAATTCCAGTTAATGGTATATCACCAATATGGGCAGATATAAACAAGCTGCTAGACATTGAACCAAATAATTAAACAGCATTATATGATCTTAGATTATTTATTATTTGATAGGCAAATATAATGAGTCATATGCAGACTTAAATAAATCGTTACCGTATTGACGCGTAATAACGCACATGGGCGTTATTTTTGAAACTCTCATTTTTTTGAAAATTGTTTACTTGACTCAAAATAACACCCATGCGCGTCCCGAAATAACGCGTCCTCTTAGATGTACCATATTACATAATTTAATCAAAATTTTCAGGCCAAGTTCGTTAATAAAAGTAGCTTCCTTTTGTAACCCAAATTTGTCAAAATGATTCAGTAGAATAGTTCGGTATCATGGCTTATTTTAACAAACACTTTCTGTTGATTACCGATCCTGGACTTGTTCAAAAGTTCTGATAAATCGTTGTTATGATTAGAGATGGGTTTCATGCCTGCGCATGATTCCTCAATTGTGCGCATTAATGCGCATTCATGCGCATTTTATCCCATCTAAATTTTATATAGGAAAATTAAATTATATATAATTTAGGCTAGAGAGCGTATTGTCGGGCGGAATTAAGGAATATGGATGCAAAATTCTCGAAAAACTCCGAAAAGAAAATGAATGAGCATAAAAGAAGAGCAAGATTTGAGCATATATCCGATATTCTCCGAAGGGAAAATATAAATCCCAAAAATTATATCATGCGCATTTTATATAACGTGCGCATTAATGCGCATTAATGCGCATTCATGCGCATGTTATAAATATTCCGGTAACAAAAAAGCAACTAAAGAATTTTTGGGTAGTCGAATTACCGCGCATGTCATAGGAAGACATTCATATGATTGGTTAATTTTGTCGATCTACCCGTGATTGC